TTACGATTACAAATGTTTAGGCATTCTCATGTTTATTTCTTCTGTTTGTATTGATATGACCCCAAAAAGTGGAGAAATAAAAGGCCAAATCTGACACATTTCACACAAAACCCCAAAAATGGGCTGGTCAAAATTATTGGCACCCTCAATTTAATATTTGGTAGCACACTCCTTGGAAAAAATAACTGAAATCAATTGCTTCCTGTAACCATCAATGAGTTTCTTACACCTCTCTACTGAAATTCTGGACTTTTCTTTTGCCAACTGCTCCAGGTCTCTCAGATTGGAAAGGTTCCTTTTCCCAACTGCTGTTTTGAGATCTCTCCACAGGTGCTCTACAGCAGGGCTTGAAAAAGCAGCTCGCCCAATGCGAGGAGAAATTCCTCTGTGGCGAGCGGTGAGCACAGATTAAGCTTGGAGCGACTGCACCTGCACTCCATTGTGAAGCCGCGTTCCGGTTTACAACTTCCGTTTCCGGCTTCTGAGACACCGCTGCCGAGGGGGACAAGTGCAGGAGAGGTCCGCTCTCCTCCGCTGAAAGGAGACACCCTCTCCACCGCCGCGGGGGACTCGGGCTGAGATATACATATCACTATAATGGGACAGTAAACATTACTGTATACATGTCATATCACTATAATGGAGTACAGGGGAGCTGGGATATACATTACTGTGTACATGCCATATCACTATAATGGAGTACAGGGGAGCTGGGATATACATTACTGTATACATGCCATATCACTATAATGGAGTACAGGGGAGCTGGGATATACATTACTGTATACATGTCCATATCACTATAATGGAGTACAGGGGAGCTGGGATATACATTACTGTATACATGTCATATCACTATAATGGAGTACAGGGGAGCTGGGATATACATTACTGTATACATGTCATATCACATAATGGAGTACAGGGGAGCTGGGATATACATTACTGTATACATGTCATATCACTATAATGGAGTACAGGGGAGCTGGGATATACATTACTGTATACATGTCATATCACTATAATGGAGTACAGGGGAGCTGGGATATACATTACTGTATACATGTCATATCACTATAATGGAGTACAGGGGAGCTGGGATATACATTACTGTATACATGTCATATCACTATAATGGAGTACAGGGGAGCTGGGATATACATTATACATGTCATATCACTATAATGGAGTACAGGGGAGCTGGGATATACATTACTGTATACATGTCATATCACTATAATGGAGTACAGGGGAGCTGGGATATACATACTGTATACATGTCATATCACTATAATGTACAGGGGAGCTGGGATATACATTACTGTATACACTATAATGGAGTACAGGGGAGCTGGGATATACATTACTGTATACATGTCATATCACTATAATGGAGTACAGGGGAGCTGGGATATACATTACTGTATACATGTCATATCACTATAATGGAGTACAGGGGAGGGCTGGGATATACATACTGTATACATGTCATATCACTATAATGGAGTACAGGGGAGCTGGGATATACATACTGTATACATGTCATATCACTATAATGGAGTACAGGGGAGCTGGGATATACATACTGTATACATGTCATATCACTATAATGGAGTACAGGGGAGCTGGGATATACATTACTGTATACAGTTTTATATTTCCGACTATTTATTCTAAAGAAAAATGTAATTTCATAAGCTTTAAGGGGGCGTGATTGGGGGGGGAGCTGGGGGGCGGACCTGGGCAAGGTTGGGGGGGCGTGGGGGGCTGGGGGGCGGACAACTGGTGGCGAGTAAGTTTTGTGACCAGCTAGTAGGTCTGGACTCCAAATTTTAACCCCTGCTCTACGGCACAGGTGATAGGAACACTATCATTGTTTAAACTTTACAAAGAATATAACAGAATATCCAAAAAGGAAATAAAGGACGCAAAAATTGAAAATGAACGACAGATTGCAAAAGATAGCAGGACCAACCCCAAAAAATTCTTCAAATATATTAATAGTAAATAGGTTCAGTCAGAGCATGTAGGCCTTTACAAAATAATCTAGAGTGGGTGACTGGGGACAAAGAGAAGGCAAATTTATTTAATACCTTCTTCAGCTCTGTATATGTCATAGGGGAGCTCTTGTCCATAATGGGATGGTATTGACACAGCTCCAGATGATCCACATTGGCTCACAATTGATATGATCCAAAAATATTTAGACAGAATAAAGGTGAATAAAGCATGTGGACCGGTTGGCATACACCCACAGGTCCTTAAGGAATTGAGCTCTGTCATTTCAAAGCCATTGTTTTTAAATTTTTAGGGAATGTTTAATGACTGGCATAGTACCACTGGATTGGCGTAAGGCCAATGTGGTGCCAATATTTAAAAAGGGGTCAAAATCTTTACCAAGTAATTACAGACCTTTTAGTTTAACTTCTATAGTTGGGAAGATTCTGGAGAGTTTAATATAAAACCAGATAGATGAGTTCTTGCTGGAAAAAAATATTTTAAGCAACAGACAGCATGGATTCATGAAAGACAGAAGTTCTCAAACAAATCTGATTTGTTTTTATGAGGAGGTGAGCAAAACCTTGGACAGAGGGGTGGCGGTGGATGTGGTATACTTGGATTTTGCAAAAGCATTTGATACAGTTCCCCACACATGTGTAAGGTAAAGTCTACAGGCTTGGAAAAATCCATATGTAAATGGATAGAAAACTGTCTCAAAGATCGTATTCAGAGTAGTGGTTAATGATTCATACTCTGAATGGTCTAGGGTTGTCGGTAGTGTACCCCAGGGTTCAGTGTTGGGACCCTTACTTTTTAATATATTTATAAACGATATAGGGTCTGGGATTAAAAATCCCATTTCAGTCTTGCAGATGACACCAAGCTTTGCAGTGGAATAACATCCTTACAGGATGTCTTCAACTTACAAGCCGACCTCAATGCACTGTTTAATTGGGCAACTATGTGGCAAATGAGATTTAATGTTGATAAATGTAAGGTTATGCACTTGGGGGCTAAGAATATGCATGCATCATACATACTAGGGGGGTACAACTGGGGGAATCAATGGAGAAGGATCTGGGAGTTCTGGTAGATCACAAGCCTAATAATGATATGCAATGCCAAGCTGTGGCTTCTAAAGCGAGCAAAATCCTCTCTTGTATTAAAAGAGGTATAGACTCCAGAGAGAGAGATATCATATTACCCCTGTACAAATCATTAGCAACACCTCATATGGAATACACAGTTCAGTTTTGGGCACCAATTCACAAAAAGAACATTGGGGAACTGGAGAAAGTACAGAGAAGGGCAACTAAACTGATACGAGGCATGGAGGAGCTCAGCTATAAGGAAAGATTAGAGGAACTGAATTGATTCTCTCTTGAGAAGAGGAGATTAAGGGGGGATATGATCAACATGTATAAATACATCAGTGATTGATATAGTGAACTTGGTGTAGAGTTATTCACCCTGAGGTCATCACAGAGGACAAGGGGGCACTCTTTACATCTGGAGGAAAAGAGATTAAATCTCCAAATACGGAAAGGTTTCTTCACAGTGAGAGCTATGAAAATGTGGAATAGACTCCCTCAAGAGTTTGTTCTGGCCAGCTCAGTGGATTGCTTCAAAAAAAGCCTGGATTCTTTCTTGGATACACAGAATATAACCGGATACTAATATTTATAGGTAAAGTTGATCCAGGGAATATCCGATTGCTTCTCGGGGGATCAGGAAGGAATTTTTTTCCCAGCGGGTGCAAATTGGATCATGCTTTGCTGGGTTTTTTTTTTGCCTTCCTCTGGATCAACTGTGGGTATAGGATTTTTTTTTTTTTTTCTATGGTTGAACTGGATGGACTTTTTGTCTTTTTTCAGCAAGACTAATTATGTAACTATGTGTCAAACTGGGGGCCCTGTAGCTGTTGCCAAACTACAAGTCCCATGAGGCATTGCAAGATTGACAGTTACAAGCATGACTCCCAAAGGCAGAGGCATTATGGGACTTGTAGTTTTGCAACAGCTGGAGGGCCGCCAGTTTGACACCCCTGCTCTATGGGATTGAGATCTGGACTCATTGCTGGCCAGTTCAGTACTCTCCGGCACTTTGTCTGAAACCATTTCTGGGTGCTTTTTGATGTGTGGAAATTGGCTCATGCTTTGCTGGGTCTTTTTGCCTTTCTCTGGATAAATGTGGGTATAGGATTATAACTTGTTTTTTTTTTTTTTTTTTTTTTTTATCGTTGTACTGGCTGGACCTGTTTTGCCAGATTAACAATGTAACTATGAAGCAGGCAGAGATTCCTGCAAAACACATTGAGAAATTATAGCCATTTTGAGGATGAATATTATATTATGTCAAAAGTGTTTGCATCACTCTGTCGGTTTTGTCTGCTGGTATGACTTTATTTTCTTTGCTTTTGAGAAGTATTTTAGTTGGACTCGGTCTAGTTTTTACTCTGTATACTAAAAAATTAGTGAACAGTCACTCACTATATTAATTATTTTATAATATGTGTCTATGTAGTGTGTTACTCTTTGGGGCACCTTTAAAGATCACTTTGTTACCAAAAACCTCTATTTATGCTAGGTCTTGCCAATAGCAGTCCCCTTCTACTTCTTTCATATTTTACAGCGTAAAGTTACCCAATTTATTTGGGGATCCACTCGACCTCGCCTTTCAAGGTCAATCTTTTTTTGCTCTAAACAGGCCAGGGGCCTAGGCATTCTGCACTTCTCCAGATAATACCAGGCAGCCCAATTGGTGACCTGCTCAAATACCACCCCACTGAAGAAGTCCCCATTTGGGTTGGACTTGAGGATGCTGAACCATACTCCAGATAGATACCTTATATGCAAGAGGAAAAACTCTAACCTTAGGTATAATGATAAGCTGCCAGCACAAGGATTTGTGATACCCAAACCTCAAATAAATACACTATATTGCCAAAAGTATTGGGACACCCCTCCAAGTTATTGGTGTATGAAATCAAGCACCTAGGCATGCAGACTACTTCTACAAACATTTGTGAAAGAATGGGTCTCTGTCAGGAGCTCAGTGAATTAAAGCGTGGTACCATGATAGGTTGCCACCTGTGCAATAAGTCCATCTGTGAAATTTCCTTGTTACTAAATATTCCACAGTCAACTGTTAGTAGTATTATAACAAAGTGGAAACAACTGGGAACAACAGCAACTCAGCCACAAAGTGGTAGGCCACTAAAAAAGACAGAGCGGGGTCAGCACATGCTAAAGCGCACAGTGCACTGAAGTCACCAACTGTCTGCAGAATCAATAGCTAAAGACCTCCAAACTTCGTGTGGCCTTCAGATTAGTACAACAGCAGTGCGCAGAGAGCTTCATGGGATGGGTTTCCATGGATGAGCAGCTGCATCCAAACCTTATATCACCAAGTGCAATGCAAAGCATTGGATGCAGTAGTATAAAGCAAGCCACCACTGGACTCTGGAGCAGTGATGTGTTCTTTGGAGTGACAAATCACACTTCTCTGTCTGGCAATCCGATGAACGTGTCTGGGTTTGGCAGTTGCCAGGAGAACGGTACTTGCCTGGCTGCATTGTGCCAAGTGTAAAGTTTGGTGGAGGGGGGAATTATGGTGTGGGGTTGTTTTTCAGGGGTTGGGCTTGGCCTCTTAGTTCCAGTGAAGGGAACTCTTAAGGCTTCAGCATACCAAGACATTTTGGATAAAGTTCATATTCCCAACTTTGTGGGAACAGTTTGGGGATGGCTCCTTTCTGTTCCAACATGACTGCACACCAGTGCACAAAGCAAGGTCCATAGAGACATGGATGAGTTTGGGGTGGAGGAACTTGACTGGTCTGCACAGAGTCTTGACCTCAACCCGATAGAACACCATTGGGATGAATTAGAGCAGAGACTGCGAGCCAGGCCTTCTCGTCCAACAAATAAAAGAACTAAAAAAGGGTTAACCAAGTGCCTAAAACAGCCGATATAGGAGGGATTAATTTCGGAATCACCCTACATTAAATATCAGCTATCATATAATCACTGACTCACCCGTGGAAAACAAAACGAAAATAGGTGGGCGTGGTCACCGAAACTCATGCTCAAGACATAGGTGCATAGGGAAATGGTTCCCCAAAAAAGGTAGTTTCATTTGGGACTATGCAGCGTTATCAAAGGGCTTTATTGAAAAAACAAGACAAATGTGCGATGCACAAATATACACACAGCTGAGCACACCACCACCGTAACTTCACCAACCTAAAAAGACAACGTTGTCTCGTCACCTTAGCGGCTGCTCATACAACCTCAAGTATATACAATATAGGGGAGGGGGCAAGAAGGCTAAAGATGCAACTAGGGAACATGTGGGGCAATAAACCGTGTATTGAATGCAAAGGTTAGATAATAGTCATTCAATAGTGTCCCATGTAATGGAGATAGGAGTCAGGTTGGGGACCGGTTGTTCTATAGCCATATATGATGAGTAATTGTAGGACACCTGAGAGTCCATTTACATTTTGCAAATAAAGCTTGCAGGTCGATGGCAGTCCGGGTAGAAATGTCCCATTAGTTGGCCAGTTAGGCCGTATAATGTGCCACCATCAGCTCCATTAATACACAGTTACCAAGTGGCCAGATTTATGAATAGCAGTGTAAATACACAAGTATTCTGTTTCTCACCACCCTTTAGAAATTCGCTGGGCTTAAGTCCATCAAGCCACGAGTAGTTCCTGAACTGTACCGCTAGATGGCATCAGAATCCATTTCTCATAGACTGTACAGCGTTGTCAGTAGTAGAGATCCATCCTGCATACTGTATGTATGGCAAGGAATGCTGGATGCCCAGACCTGTAATGGAGGTCGGATAAGACGGTCACAGAATGCGGTGACATCAAGCCCAAGGCGTACATAGGGAGGTGCGATTCAACATCTTTCCCCCATTGAGCTTGGGCTTCTTCAGGGATCCTGTTTTTTTTCAATAAAGCCCTATGGTCCCATATGGATCTACATTTTTTGGGGAGCCCTTTCCCTATGCACCTACTTTTCATCCCACATCAGTGCCTGACCTCACAAATGTGCTTCTGGAAGAATGGTCAAACAATCCCATGGACACACTTCTAAACCTTGTGGACAGTCTTTCCATAAGAGTTGAAGCTATTATAGCTGCAAAGGGTGGGCCATCTCAATATTGAACACCCTATGGACTAAGACTGGGATGCCATTAAAGTTCATGTGCGTGTAAAGACAGGCGTCCCAATACTTTTGGAAATATAGTGTACATAAACTGCAGCACTATAAATATACAATCACTGTATACATATCCGCATTTCATCATACCAGACATCATCAGGGAGAGTGGCTGGAAGGAGGCACCACGTGGAATCCTTTTATAGTAACCAGGAAGGGGAAAACAAGGAAAAAACAGCTGTGAGCTTTGTTATTCCCAGTTGCTATAAATGGATCCTGTGTGGTGCCTCCTTACAGCCACCATCCCTGAGGATGAAGATGAAGAAACGCAATGGGAGGGACCAGCGGAAGTGACATCACCACACACACTAATATTGGAAGCAGGCTTTGTACAGAAATAGCAGTTAATCGCACAGTACCATGTGATGTTGCCTGTTGGGCTTATAGTATACTATATGTGTGTGCATTTTTTATCATTTTAATAAACTTATGGTCTTTTTTTACTACAGCATATGAACTTTCCTCTTTACATTCACAAAACTTCTCTATTATGTATAGAATACTACCCATCAAATTAAAGTGCTAAACCACAAACAATAATCTAGCCTTATGTAAACAGTGTTAGCAGTCCGTGAAATCAAAAATTATCAATATTAATTCCCCAATGATCAAATAGAGAAAAAAATATAAATAAAATAGAATATCACTCCAACATAATACCAAGTGTCACTTCAAAGAAAGTCCAATGTGAGATGTAAAAAACATAAAAAATCATACAAAAATTGTCCACACTCCAACTTGACAGTTCTTTAGATGTTAAGCCTTTCCACTGGCTCCCACAAGAACAGAGTGTACCTCCAAAAAAGAAAAACTTAAATAGTGTATTACCTTAATGATAATATATCAAATCATAATATCACTCTAATATGTGCAAAATTCACATAGTGAAAAGAATAGTGAATAAACAAGTGAACACTGTGCAAAATAGGTGAAGTGCTTCACTCCGTGCATACAATGCCAGTGATCCCACCAGTGTACACTTCTACTGTACAAGGCAAATATACCCTTACCAAAAAGATTAAACAAGCACGCCTTATCAAATAGAAGGAATCAGCAGAACCACGCTTCCTCTCCTCCACTCCTGAAGCGTATTCTTACGGAAATCAGTCACCATACCATCCCATCATGGTTGTACTAGAGACTTCCCAGGAACTATCAGGTATCCATATAGGTAATATATAAATAAAGATATATAGTGTGATTCCATTTAAAATATATTAATTAAGCTTTAACAGATCTGCCTACATGTTACAAGTAAACACGAGCATTATATTCCCATATATCAACACAGAGGGTTACCAAGCAGCTTCCTGGTGGCTTAACATGTGGTTCCAGTCTCCAAAATGGCCACCACACCACTTCCAGTTCCTGCTCCTGTGTGTCCGGCGTCACTTCTTCTGATGCGTTTCCTCACATCCGGGACTTAGTCATAAGGGATAGCTTTTCACCTGTTTGATTCCCTGAAAGCAATTCTACAAGGATGAAGATTCAAGCGATTCAAAGGTCAATATATATATTTTTTTTACTAACAAACACACATATATATATATATATATATATATACCCTGCTGTGTGCAGTGGTTGTGCGTGCACAGAGCAGCCTGGATCCTCCTCTTCTTAGGTCCCCCACAGGCTCTCCTGGCTCTTCCTTTCTGTTGGGTGCCCCCACAGCAAGCAGCTTACTATGGGGGCACCCGCTGCTCCATGTGTCCATTCATACACGAAGCTGTGACTTGGCTCCGCCCCCCTCTCTCATTGCCTAATTGGCCGTGATTGGCAGCAGTGGGAGCCAATGGCTCCTGCTTGCTGTCTCAGCCAATGAGAAGGATGAAAACCCTTGCATGAAGGTGAAAGCCTATGCATGAAGGTGAAAACCCTTGAGCCTTTACAACCGCTTTCACTTCTGATGAAGAAGTAGTGAAGACAGCGGTGTATTCGTGCCTTGCAGCTCAACCTAAACTTTTTGTAATGACAGAATACAGAAGCTTGTTGCCAGATGAACAAAATGTATTGAAAAACAAGAAGGTTATCTCAAAAAAATTACACATTTGTCTTTTCTAAAATATAATAAAATTACATTCGACAGCCAGAGTGTATTAGTTTTTTTACTTACCCTTGCACACTGCTCAAAAAAATTAAAGGCACACTTTTTAATCAGAGTATAGCATCAAGTCAATTAAAATCCTGGGATATTGATCTGGTCAGTTAAGTAGCAGAGGGGGTTGTTAATGCTATTAACAGCAGGTGCACTAGGTGGGCAACAATGAGACAACCACCAATACAGGTGGAAGCCACTTACATTTTTCTACTCATCTTTTCTGATTGTTTTTCACTAGTTATACATTTGGCTAGGGTCACTATTGGTAGCACGAGGAGATACCTGGACCTTACAGAGGTTGCACAGGCAGTTTAACTCCCCCAGGATGGCACATCAATACGTGACCTTGCCAGAAGGTTTGTGGTGTCTCCCAGCACAATCTCAAGAGCATGGAGGAGATTCCAGGACAGGCAGTTACTTTAGGAGAGCTAGACAGGACCGTAGAAAGTCATAAACCCATCAGCAGGACCAGTATCTGCTCCTTTGTACAAGGAAGAACAGGATGAGCTCTGCCAGAGCCCTACAAAACAGACTTCATGAGGGTGGCCTGAGGGCCCGACGTCCTCTAGTTGGCCCTGTGCTCACTGCCCAGCATCATAGAGCTTGATTGGCATTTGCCATTGAACACCAGAATTGGCAAGTCCGCCAATGGCACCCTGTGCTTTTCACAGATGAGAGCAGGTTCACCCTGAGCACATGTGAAAGACGAGAAAGGGTCTAGAGAACACCTCTGGTATATCATGTTTCAGTTCATCAGACAGCGCCAGGTTGCACCAGACTGCCCAGGAGCGCAGTGATACCCTAGTCCAGATCTGGGAGGCATACCCCAGGACATCATCTGTTGTCTCATTAGGAGCATGCCCCAACGTTATCAGGCATGCAAAAAGCATGTGGGGGCCATACAGATTACCGAGTACTATTCTGAGTTACTGCAATGAAATTTCAGCAAAATGGACTAGCCTGCTGCATCATTTTTTCACTTTGATTTTCTTTGAATTCAGTCTTCTGTAGGTTGATAATTTTCATTTCCATTAAATGATGGGGCATCCTTACATTCCTAACACATGACCCAGTCCATAGTCATAGATATCTAGCATGATGTTTCCCTTTGACATTTGATGTGTTTTCAAAGTGTT